ATATTCGTCTTCGAGGCCATCACTTTGTAAAAAACAATAACACGCTTCTCTTCATTATGAGCTGAATAAAAAGAGATGGGGCTCTTACTTTGAGAATACCGTGTCTATCGCAGGGATGATGGCGCCAAGGAAGACATAAGTGCCGTTATGTGTAACGTTCATTCTTCATTACGAGTGGCACTCACAAAATGTTATTGAGAGGTTTCGAGGTTTGATAAAATGGCATTGCTGATAGGTATGCCTTTCCTCAAGTGTGACAAACGCGGATAGAGTTTGGAGTGAAGGGCCCAAGTGTTAGTGGCAGTCGAGTTCAGCAGTGCCACGATCACCACACCAGCCGGACGACGCCTACTGTTGGACAAAGCCCACTTTCATATCTCCCATGGTGGTTCATTTGTTAAGGCGCTCATCTCAGCTGCTTTCGGAAGGGCGCGGGATGGAATACAGCCGCATTTCACTGAAGGAGAAATTCCACAGACCCTGGCGTTCTAATTAAAGCCCAACTTAAAGAACGCTCCACCAAGCTTCCTTCGTAATCATTTCGCGGTTTGTAAATTTAAGACCAAACAATTTTATACATTAGGAATACTACAATTTTTCTCTAATTAACAGAGCTCTGCATTAGATGTGGCCTCGCCGTACTCAAAAACATCAAACATCTCGGTATTCAAACAGCAAACACTAGATCTGATGCATCAGTGGGCTGCAGCGCACTATGCCTAGTTGAGCGACACCGTGCCGAAAAATTTCCATATTCACTGCCAGCACTTGCTCATCCTGCTTTTGAAAACAGATGTCCCAGTTTTTGTGTGCTTGTCATTGTTACATGCCGGTGGGGCGACTGCGTGTAGCCTAAACTAGCCAGGTGCGCGCTACGGCATTCGCTTCCAGCTACGGCAAATTATGATGAAGTGTCTCGGCCTTTCTTTCATAATGCCCGATACTCAGGAAGCCTAATTGCGTGCTAATAAAGATATCCATGCCGTGTTTTGTTTTTAAAGGAAGTTAGGGATTATTGGTCCTGGTTACCACCACAAACGAAACATTTAGCAAAGTTGTATTATTGCAAAAACATTCGATTGTATTTTAATGTAAGTTTCATACCACTCACACACTGATAGCCCTTCCAAGTTCCACGCCACATTGTTACCTCTGTAGGTTCCATGTACAAATGTAGCTAATATCCGTAGAATAAACCTCGCTTCTTAAAAAATAATAACGCCAAAAATCTGTACCAGGCCTGCAAGCCGACATCACGAAATATAGTGCACGGTAACTCAAATCGGGGTAAGTTGAGTATTTTTTAACGATTCAGTTTCAGGTTCAGTTTCAGTTTTTATTAAGTATTTTCTTCACAGAGTTGCCAAAAAGAAAACGCAAGGATAAGAGCAAAAAGCTGCGATGTTAGCAGCTTGACGAGGCTCCTACCCCTTTTCACTTGGCATTACAAAATCGGCAGAGCACAAACATGAAAAAACAATTAGACGTCGATCTTCAAAACTTCAAGAAATTAGGAAATAAAAAGAAAATGCATCAAATATACATCCGTTTTAGGTTTACATAAAATAAGCAAATCACAAAGAGAGAAAAACAACAAATAACAAAAGCAAACAGCGTACGGTCAATCATGAAACAATGCACAAGTTGCTAAACGGCTACCAAAGTATTACAAAGTGATTATAACAAGTTTACAACACTGGGTATGCGAAGAGAACAAGCTTTGATGCTCAAGGAAAAGACAAATGTTGCATGAAATGTTGCATGTTTTACTCGTAAAAAAATTATGCCGGACACCTGCCGCATTTCCGTTTCCAACTTGACGAAATGCACTCATTTGGAGCCTTTCAACATCAATTATTGTTCATTTGAGTGCAATACAATTAGAACAGTCGCCTATACCCGTCAACAGATTTGGTTGGGAAATGGTAGCAATATTTAAAATGGAAGTTATATACCATTTTGCCATCGCAGACAAGGAGAAGGATATGAAGATGAAGTTTGCATCTAAATTCCGTTGATAAAAAAATTTAAGATGCGTAATCACAAGATATAGTAGCAGATGAATATGCGCATAGCAGTACACTTAAGTTTTCTCGTTGCTAAAAAGAGAAGTAGCGCAGAAAATTTTGAAACCTGCTAGACGTTTCACAATTTATTTGCGTATGTGGCGTCATGCTCATCACAGTTGAGCACCATCACCATTTTCTCAGCCACCCCTTACTTCCTCTCGCAAAGGTCATGCCTAGCTCGAGCTGCACGAGCAACAAAACGAGTTCACACGCCTGGCGTGTCAGACGCTAACAGGCACCACCGCTCAGCTTCTGTTCTGGGAAACAAGAGGTGGACGTGGTTGGCACGGCCACCATGCCCACCTTCACGACACTCTAAGGCAAAAAGGTGTTAAAAGGGTGTGTGGTTCGTCCTTTTTGGAACCATAGGGGCTGCCACAACCATTAATCCTTTTAAGAACTAACGGCACTGGGCCTAACAGTTTGTCCCTTCAAGGGACTAACATTGAGTCCACACACTTACACCTCAGTGAGTAAGCCGTTAGTCCAACAGTTCACCCCAAAAGACTAAATTCAGTCCTCACAATTACACCTTATAGAGCAACTGTCAATGCCCACATTTACACCTTACCGGGCAACCGTTAGTCCTCACAGTTGCGCCTTCCCTGACAAACGGTAGATTCACTCATATACTCCAAGCGGATGAATTGTTTGTCCCCAGTTCAAACATCATTTTTTGTTTATTTTCCGCCAGGCCTTATCCCTTTTCGCCTGTTTTCTGCGTAGTGAGCAACAAATTCCGCTGAAAAGAACACTGCGAAAAAGTAGTTAGCCACCTATGTGTAACTGCTTTTACAGTCACGGCGACAACGAAAGACAAAAGTCGGACATCGAAATCTTTTATTTTTCTACATACACATGAAATTTTCCCATTCTTGTTAGTGAATTCATGGTGAAGTGCACAAGTCCAGTCTCGTTTTCAAATCTTGTTCACTCCTTGGGGAGCTCCTCTGACTGGAAGCGATAGATGACATGCATTGCAGACGCCAGCGCACGCAGCCTCCTTCCTGTTGTGTTTCACGGCTGCACATACAGTAGTATAGTAAAAATGGTTAGGCACACGTCACAGAAGATGACGATGCACGCATATGAGAAGTACATAAACGTTAATATAAAGAGAAGCATTAAAATTTGACACACAAAGAACATTACCTTCACATCTCGCACAGTCCTTCTGAAGCTGCTCTGACGAAAGAAATGGATGACGGGCATCGCACACGCCAGCGCACAGTCTTCAGCACGGTGTGTGCCCCCGGCTGCACAATCCGTATGTAAAATAGTGAGTCACACGTGACAAAGGATGAATACGAATGCAAATGAGAAATACGTGCAAGGTGAAATGAAAACATATGTGAGATAAGACATGCTAATAATTTCACTGTGATGTCACACATCGTCGAAGACTCATTTCGATCTCCGTAGCGCAACAGCTCAGGAGCGGCGGCCGCAGTCAATACTCCACGAACCGCCGTGCCGCTAACAAGTTTGCGAGTCCTAAGCGAGTGACGTCGTTCAGCTCGAGCAAGCGAACGCGAGACCAAACACGGCACTGAACGCGGAGTGTCTGCCGCCAGCGAACTTCGAACAGGAAGCTTGACCGCCGCCACGAACAGCGCCGAGCTGGTTTGGAGCTAGCGCCGAATAAATCGACGGTAATGCGGCCCTTTTACACAAACTCGAGCGAGTGCAGCGCACAAACACGAGTCCACCGCCACGGCCAGCGGACGGCTCCGAGCTGCCTGCAACCGACTGGCGGGAAAGCCAACTGCATTGGCGACCAATTTTCAGTGAGTTCCAACGCTAGCGAAATCCCCGCCAGCCCGTGCTAGTGCACACAGCGCGCGACATACTACCACCAAACCCTTTACGATAACCGGCAACGTGTTTTCAACGACTCCCAACACAGCGACGAAGTCTCAGCCCAATATCGTCAGCACGGACCTCATCGCGGCGGCGAAGACAGGCGAGCACTCGATGAGCGAGCGTACGGGAGGCCGACGGCAATGGCGGCCAATTTACAGGCGGTTGCAAAACGCAGGTGAACTGAACACGCCGAAGCTGACCTTCCCGACGCATTTCGTGGGTGCGATATACAACACGACCAAGCCCGTTGCCGCCAAGCGCAATCCGTATCGCACACGCAACAGTAGAGTAGAATAAAGAATGATAACCTACTTGCCTTAGAATCCAGCGCTGTTTTCGGCCCTGAGTCGGACTGAAGTATATATCCGATAGGCCTGTTCTTCTTGGCCGCCATATTGGCCATCCCATCTGCTGCTGTCATGTGTTGGTCGTGACTATCTTGAAGCCAGAGATATACATCGTGGCGTGGTGACCTCTCGAGGCTTGCTCCAGACTTCATCAGGGCAGCGAAACTGCTAAAGCAGCAGCCTACGCTCATCCAGGCGTACACACAAGCACCACGTCGTAATTCTTAGATCGTCGAATCCAGGTGGCAGTGGCCGAGCACTCGGAGCGTGACGCTACGCAACCACCGCCGGCAAAATACGGGGAAAGACTGAGCCAGCAGAGGAGGAGAAGGGCATGTGTTCTGTGGAGAAGGAGGGTTGGTACATCTTGGCAACGCATTTCGCGCTGCCTACAATGCCCGGGCAGGTTCATCCCAGTACAGACTAAATGGTTTCGCGCCGCACGCTTCCCTCTGTGGTTGCTCCTCAACGATCTATCTGTTCATCGGGCGCGCCTAGTTGGGCTCTGTTAGCTCCTTCTTCGGGTACTTTTGCCTTACTTAGAGTGGACATCATTCGACGTCTACACTACAGTGTAGTACTAGCAGTTGCGAAGGTACACTTTGCATTTCTTTGCAAATACGCCTCGCACTGAATGCCTAAAGCCGAGGTCTTTTCATGCAGTTAAGTTTATTCGAAGAGAAAACGTATGCTCTATCTGACATGTTAGAAGCATTCTCACCTTGAGCTCAACCATTGGTGCCGCAAAGCCAACGCTTCCTGAGACCAGTCCATCATTTATTGTTGAGCACAGGACGCCACAGGATTCAGACATGCCATAGTGGTTCCGCAAAGAGCGGACGCCATCGAAGGTAGCCACTATCCTTTTGGCAAACGTATCGGTCAGAACACAGCCGCCCATGTTGATTGTCGTAATGGAGGAAAGCTTCGTTCCGGTCCGTACCATGCCGGCTAAATAATTGTGCATTTGTACCGGAGGAAGCGACAACGTTGTCACCTGGAAACGAGTAGTCAAACAGTAACTTTCTAGTGCCCAAAATTTAGTACAAAATATTTGGAGTGAGTGACGTACTAAGAAGGTAGTGTCAAGTCAGACAACAAAGTACTTCCGTTGTTTTGAGATCCACGTATGTACATCGCTAATTCTTATGCCTATTATGTTTGTTTACCTTCTAGAGTTCGAAGCGACTGCTTTTTACGTCAAAAATGTCATTTTTCTTGAAATTGAATACACGAATACTAATGCGCAAAAATTGTGGTGACTGTACACTGGAGTACTCAGTAATGATGCCGTTCACTGTGTTAAAAAACAAAATAAATGAATGGTAATACTTTATTTCGTTACACTCAGCAAACTTGCAACAGCACCAGTGACAAAAATATAACCGGAAAGCATAGAACAGATGAGGCAGCTTGCTGTTACCATAATCAGTGCTAATAGAATCCCACACTGATACTCTGCAAAAAACATGAAGTGAAATTCAAATAGTTGGCGAGTCACTGCAGCGTGATTGCCAGTGGCCATCCCAATTAAGCTGTTTGGCTAATTTCGCAAAGCGACAAGAGAGTTCCTGTATCTTGTCGAAGGTGAGATGCAGTTGACACGCTGCTAATGATCGCAAAGGTTATTGTGTGCTCCACACGAAATACATCAAATAGCCACAACTATCAGCAGCCCCACTTCGTAGTGATCCGACGGTTTAAAATAGCAACTCGGCTCCGCCTAAAATAGGCAACTCTGCTACGCCAATTTCGGCTGGCAGTCCCTTACACAGTAATTTTTTTTTTCATATAGAGATAGCCGACAACGCTCCTTAAGGGGCTTCCAGTACCGAGAAGGCTACAGAACATCTCGGCTAGTATCTTCCTTCGCTGAACAAGTAAAAACCACTCGCCGTTGCTCCTACTCGGGTGGCCAACAGACCGATGTCCTTCATAACTGCCTTTCAAAGTCATCCCGTAGAGTGGTCCAGAAGTAGAGCTGCTAAGTCATGGTTAAAACTCCTTATAACAACATACTAGCACGAGCAGCTCTAGGACTCATAATTATGCCACATACCACACGAGACTGTCACTCTTCCCTATGAAGTTGTGAGTTTGTCTACTCCCCCTTTTTTCTCTGTCCTGTTCTTTTAATTCTCACACGTTCACGGTAGCTTTCCGGTTTTGTCACACTTGTTAATGTACCTGCTTTCACTGTCTTCCTTCTTTCCCTTCCTCCCCAATGGAAGCCGCATACACTCTATACAGCACGGTTTCGCTTTGTACACGCCTAAATTAAAGATGAACACTTTGTTTGGAAGACGCCAAATTTAGTGTCTACCGAAGTGTGGCGGGTGCACTTTGGGAGAAAGGGTATATTGTTGCGATTGCGCATCAACGTTATTCTTTCGCACTGGATACGCCTTCCGTCGGTAAGCTAAAATTCGAAAACACAAGCGGGCTCTCTACTGCGAGACGTAGAATATAGAGTTTGGAGCAATTTAGGTGCCGGGATGTCAGGACGATGACCGGACTAATCTCGCGCCAATAATTTTCAAAGGGTCCACTCGCATGGGTATGTCAGTCGCTGCTGTGAAGTCCAGTATCCCTTCACAGTCAACTAGCGTTACTTGAGCGGCTAATGACACCGCCATCTCTTTCTCGTGCATGGGTCGCGCCGTCGTCAGTACTTGCCACCACCGCTTACCACGCCAACGCAATTCCTGACGGTGGATTCATGATTCACTCGTGAGTGCAATGCTAAGTCATTGCGTCTTGAACATACAGCACCTTGTTCTTCTGTTAGGTTCTCTGCCTAATTTCGTTGACGCAAACACCTCAGAATGCATTGACATATAATAAGCCGTACATGCAGCCTAAAAGACCATTAACGCTTTCCAAGCTTATCATTATTTTGCAAAGTTGCTTGCTTCTACTGATTTCCCATGTATTCTTTTTCCTAACTCCTCAAATTATGATGGTGCTGGATGAAGTCCAAAAATACGTCGACACTCTTCTCTTATTAAGTGCTACTCGCTTTATTAAATTTCCAGCTCACGTACGTGTGTAGAGTCTCTTTGTTGAAAGGGACGTACAGGTAAGAAAACTTACGTTGTACTTCTTGACGTAATACACGAATTGGTCGAATGCCAATCCGGGCTGAACTACGACGCTTGTGACTGCAATAGCGGCAGCTACAGCAACGAAAATGAAACCAGGCGCATAGGTTATGGGATACCAGGCAAGGAGAACGTCTTCAGGCAGATAACTCACAAGGGTTCTGAAACGATAGATAGAAATGATGGCCCACAATCAATGGTGCGGCAGTCTATGAAGGTTTATAGTGTTCAATAACTTCCACCACAGGAGGCCCCTTAAAGACTTATTGCTTAGATAGAACAATGGCGTGACTTCCTTCCAGAAGTTTTCCGTATAAGTGACGTCAAGAACGTCGTCATGTCAAATCATCATCACACAACATCGTCGCTTAGTCAAACCTGTCCTGTCCCACAGGTAGTGCAGCACAATGAAGGTTACGGCTCAGAAAGCTTTAGGAAAAATCAGTGGACTAACAACGCCCAGTTAATGTAATTGATGTCACGTCAAAGAACAAAGCGTTGCTTATGACTTCCTTAGTGTTGTTAATAGGTAATGCCATTTTTTTTCATATCCCTACAAACTGTTACTGAACAATTACATTGATCCTTAGAAACACTGTCTACTTCTACGCCATTGAAAATCAGCGCAAAACAACATGTGAACTGAGGTTTGCATACAATGTAAGTTTTAGTAAAGATTATTGTAACAGTGTAGGTAACACAGCAGCGCATTCCTTATTGAATAAATGCGCAATCTATGAATTGCGTAAACAAAACTCCCGACACTTTATTGAAAACTTCCCCATGTCTGATCGTAGCTGCTGAGACAGCTACGGATATTTCACGCTGTTTTTATCGTCCTCATGTGGTTAATAATTATTTTGCTTGTACTTTCCAGAATATTTCACCTGCTGTACAAATTGTAATGTTAAATTTTTTTGTCAACTTTGAGCTCAAGTGTTCATGGGTGTGATTAATCGGTAATTAGGATGGAAAGCAAGCACGTTGAATAGATCTTACTGCGCGCTTGACTCAAACAATTTTGAGTGTTTTAATAACAATATATGCCACCCTAAGGTGTACTCGACAAGGCCTGCACAATTCTGACGATCAAGCAGTGTAAGTCAAGATGAGTCGCGGCTGAGAAGAATCAGGGAACATGAAAAACAAAGACGGCGTCATGATAACTACTCATCTCTTCAACTCAATGTAATTTTATGCACAATTGGAAAATGCTGTACTTTCACAATGTCGGGCTTATATTATCTTGCTAAAAAAATGGCCCCGTATCTGCATGTTACACCACAAATGCAGTCAAAAAACGATAGTCTTGCGTTTAAACAGAGTGAACAAAACGTTTATTTGATGTTATGCGCAAGAAAATTGGTGAATGGTATTTTGAAGGCGCTGCGTTAGAGTGCCTCGAGCATACAGCGTAGGCGAACCAGCGCATCAAGTCACGTCACACGTGAGACATGAGCGCTATTTGGCAGTTATCCTGAAAAACGGGGTGCGCGCCGTGCGCGCCCATCACTGAGGTGATAAGGTATAGAAGGCAAGGCGACGGGTAGATGCCACCACCATGTCATCTTAGCAAAGCGTGGGAAACACTTGCCGTTTCGTGCAAGCGTTGCATGGCCAGCGCAGCGTTATAAAGACTGCGATTCTAAATTTACTTATGTATGCCTTTTGTAGTGAAAAATACACATACATATTAATGACGTGCTGTTATAGTGCCTCAGATATGCGCAATAACTGCGTTTTAATAGACAATTGCACAAGTGTGAACGCTGAACCTTGAGCAATATTGGTCGGCGCTGAGGATGTGGTCAGCCGATTGGGAGTAATGTTTGGTCACTTTGTTGCCGTTTAGGGTACCGGTCAGTGTGAACAAAAAGACAAGTGTATAAAGAGAAAGACAGACAAACAGACAGACCAAAATTTTTGCGTCGAAGGTCCCCAAGAAAAACTATCGTCTTTAAAAGTAAATACAACTGTGAGCATCCACTATATAGGTTCATAACCAAATACTAGTGATGAACAAATGTGTGGTGTTAATAGGGTGTGAGCTAGAAAGTTATGATGAATTCCTTTTTGTTTACAAAGCAAGACATCTTCAATGGTTGCTTCCTAGTGTAAACAACAATTGTCAGTGCAAAAATAATGTACCGGGCTTTCACACAATTTAAAATGTTTCGTCATATGAACAGTTATTCGAATTAAACCTTTTTGAGCCGTTACTGCAGCATGTGTTTTGTTGTAGTCCAGTTCATACATTCTGCAATACTTTATGCCAACAGATTATAGCAATTTCTATATTTCTTTTCTGTACGACTCTTGTCGTGTTTTTCGCCTTCTGTTCCGACTTAAGAAAGAGCAAGAAATGCTACTTCATAGACTGTGGATGGGTGTTGCATACACGCGACAATACTTATTTCTTTCAGCTCTGTAATTTTATTTGTGTCAGACACATTCTTATTACGTATATTACTAATTATGAAGGTCTGAGAAGACCATAAACGAAAAATTTAGTCAGTAGTGTAAGTATTTACCAATTTACAACCTTGGCGTAAATTAGCTTATCACGGGCTTATAGTCAAAAAATGACAAAGGTCGCTATAACTATTTGTTGCTGCAGTGTCCTAGAGTGCACAAAATATAAAAAAATGCAGTATTTAAAAGTTTGAAGCTCCTAAAACAACTTCAGGACTTCAACCCGAAAGTGCCGCCTTTCCGCCTCTGCTTGCCCACGTCGTCGTCACCAACGACCTCGGTCAAGATTCTGCTTTTTTACTGCTCCATGCTCCGGAAAAATGAAACAGCGGTGGTGTAGATCGCATTGTGGATAGTTGGATAGTTAAAGAAATACCTCTGCAAGACTGAGTGGGTTTAACTACGTTTTCAAGGTTTTAGAAAAGTTCTATGTGGTGTCGTTCATTGACGACACCAGGGCCGAAAGGGTTATGCATAATAGTACAAGAGCAAAATTATAACTGTAACTTGTGTAACACGCCAGAAACTATTAATCACATCCTGTGTGTGTGCCCTTTATACGCAGTTGAAAGACAATATCTTAAGTGCCTCGCAGATGACCTAGACTGCCTACCCTTTTCGGAGGAGACACTTTTGGGTGCTTGGGAACGTGTGGATCACGCTCAACGCAGTTTAAAGGGCCTGCTCGCATTTCTAAGCAAGACACGTTGAGATTCCCGCCTTTAGAGAATCGGATAATGTAGCGACTTTTGTGCGTGTACTACACCGAATGAGACATAGCGTGCAGTGATTCACTGTGCTATACCACAATCGCCCCTCATCATACCCTCCTCTTTATTTCCCTTTTACCCTTACCCCCGTGTGGAGTAGCAGGCCAAAAACCCGCTTTCAAGGCTGACATCTCCTCCTTCTTCTCATCAAACACCTTCTTCTTTTTTTTAAGTTCTCATGAGTGGCGGAGGGTACAACGAAGCTGCAAACATTTCAAATTCTGCGTCGGGATGCAACGTTGAACTGAAGGGTGCCAGTTTGTAACCTGTAAGAACTCATTGGTTGGTGCTGCTCAATCAGAAATATTATACTTTCACAAATTGGACGACACAGTTCTCACGTAGTCAGGCTCGATTCGCAATCATCAAGCTATGTCCTAGCCGAATCTTCTGGTGAAAATCACCCCCATATCCACAAAGTGAATGATATTAGAGGAGCTTTCTTATAGGTGCATGGGAAGGTTCTTGCGAGACCATTTCTGTAGGTAGGCCTGTTAACGAGGCGGCACATAATGTGTACGTCGAAGCAGCGTTGTTGGGCACGTTTCATGGCCGGCAATGTACTGTTGATCACTCCGATTGGCACGTTAAGCACTTGCCCCTTTATGCCATACTGGCCGCTGCCGTGAGTTAAATCCCTAACCTTTTCGAATGACAGATGTCAAGCTATCAGGCGTTCTTCAACGAGGTTGAGATTAGGCAGGTGAGGGGGCTTTAGAGAATATCAACAGGCGTGCGTAACAATCCCGCTGGTTGTTCGCCACGTGTTGCTGTGCCTACGAAACGACGCTCACTCTGCTGGCCTGCCCGATAATGTTTTTTCTTCTCCTCTAGGCTCGGAGACTGCGCACGTCCACACACGGGCAAAAAAACACCACTGAAATCCAGTCTTTTCCTCTCTCTTCCACATTTCTTTCTCTAGTTTACTATACTTCCCTCAACTGGCGTTGTTGAGGTGATCTCCTGGGAGAGATAAAGTTACGATGCCACTTTTTCACCTCCCTTTTTTTCGAGGCCACCTCCAGGCAGGCAGTGCGCGGGCCATCGAAAACCAACGACATGAGTGATGGCGCGCTATCCAGGGAATATTGCTGGAATCGCTGGAGAGACTACCTTGAGCACGACCTCAGAAGTCTACACACTGGCAACACTAGTGTACTTGCTGGCCACCGCCGTAGGACAAGCCGCGAGCAAAAAGAGTCCCTAGATATAATTTTGGTACTAGTTGCTCTCTGCGCTGAAGTTCATGAGCATTGTCATTTTCTCCAAATTTTCTAGAACGTTTCCAAACGACATTGTGACCCACTGAAAGCTAGGTAAGCTCTGGGCTGCTTCATCACATGTGCAGCAGGTGAAGCGGCTGCTATGCTTGTGGTTGTTCTTTCACCTTCTAAAGGTTTCTGCTGCAGGGGCACTTCTTCTAGACTGCTACTAGCTCAATAGTCCGGGGTCGGTGCTTGTAGTATTGTTTGTACAGAGAACCTATATTCCGTGCATCAAAACTCACAGCACAATGAGTGCAGCTGAATAGTTGGTTGCCTTAAGATAATAATCTAGGTATAAAAGCATCGACTTACAATGCTTCGGCAAGGGGGCAATTTTCTGGGGCTGCACGCGTGCCTATGTACTAGTATGTTGACGTTCCATAGACAAACTGAATAACTTAGGCGAGGCTTGAGCAGACCAGTGTGTATCAAAGCAATAACGTTCAGCGAAGTCGCATCCTAATGAAACAGAAAAATTTAAAAAGCGTGTTTATACTGACGTAGCAAATATCAGCACTAAAATCTAATTTTTAGCAGCGACCTTCGCTTGCCAGCTACAGGCTGGTACGTTACTGGGTTCTAGAAGGAGACTTCATTATTGAATCAGACGACTCCATTTCAGTTGAATACAAGAATACTCGTTCGTGCGTTCAC